TATATATATTGATGACAAAAAATACCTCAACATGTGTCCTAAAAAAATCCTCTTTTTTCCCCAATATTTCCTATTATAGATCTCTTTACTAATCAAAAATATAAAAATTAAGACATTCTAACTACCACCACGTCTTAATTTTTTGTACTCGATCTCTTTACTAATTTATAGGTTGCTTTTTATTTCCGCTTTTGTATATTTGGACCATAAAATTTGAGATAGTAGAGGCGGGCCTGTCGCTTTCATCTTTCTTTGGAATTGGAAGTCCAACACTCCAACTTCGTTCTTAAATTCCAAAACACCACTTGCGTTGTTTGTCCCACAACCACAAGCCACAATCAAAGCCAATAGAAAAATCAAAGTTGAATTCATCCACCCTGCTTTCTTGTCGAATCGTTTATAAAATAAGAAAATTACATATCAACCCCAAGGTTTTTGGGATTTCATTTCTTTACCTATTACAATTTCGTATTAAATACTAATATATGATATCAAATAACGTTAGTCGTTTTATATATATATATCATAAATTTTATTGATATCTAATAAAATACATCAATAGCATCTATGGAATTATATTTTATAGGTTAAGAAACAGTTACTTATAACAGAAATATGTAAATATGTGTTTTATACAAATGAGTCAATTAAGTGAAATTTCTATATTAGTAAACATCATAAGGATATTTACATGTCAAAAAAATTTTATCCTATTTGAATTTTCATAAATCTGGAGTAATGCTAATAACTTAAATAAGTTAATAATAATTTTTTTTTGATAAAAGTAAAATGTTTTAAATTCAAATAATATAACATATAAAGGAAATGAGGTTATCTTCTATTATACAATCTTAAATCAAGAAACCTGTAACTATTTGTATATGAAACACCGAAAAGCTAAGGGAGAGTAAAATTAGGGACTACAAGAGTTCCCCACCCATTATAGCGCCAAGCATAATCAATTACTTAACAATAGGAGGATGAAAATCAACCACCAACATTGTCAAGTCTATTCCCAAATTATCTAGCAAAACTTTCAATGCACAACCCTTCGAAGTAAGTAAGTAGATAATATACATCCCATTAAAAAAATAAATATATATGTTACATTTTTGCTTTTATTTTTCATTTAAAAAACAAAAATATTAGGCATACAATCTTCTAAGCATAATAATTATTTATAACATAACATATTAGTTTATAATTAATTTTTTAATTAAAAAATTATAGCTGATATTATATTGTCTTAACACGTGATATTGTATGTAACATTGTCGTTTAAAAAGCCAATCAATGATATTATAAGATTTGTAAAGATACTTACCAAATTAATAACAAATTCAAACAGTTGGGGTCTATAATAAAAACTCCAAACACTTTGTGGGATAAAATTAAAAACTATTGGACCAACTTTCAATTTCTGATAATGTTAGCAACTAGCTATAAAATTATCAAAAGCCACCCTGTTTTTATTCCTCCTCGCGGAAGATGCACACGAGACGAGACGAGACGAGACGAGACGAGACAACGACACTGGGGATCAGTTAATGCAGATTTAAGGATTTTTCCCTTCCTTAACCACCTCCATTATTTTGATGTTTCATTTTCCCACTTGTTTTCCTTCACTTTCCCGGTATCCAAACATGGTCTCAACCACCGCCATGACTTGTCTTTGTTTTTCATCTTCCATTTCCTTTGTTAAACGCCGTGATTCGGTTTCTGAAAACTGTCGGACCGGATTAAACACAAGAGGAAAATCAAGATTCCCGTTTAAATCACTTAAGTGGACTCAGGAGTCGGATTTAAATCATATGCTTGCCGTCTCTTGCTCGGGAACGATTGAAACTCCGGCGAGAACAGCCGGCGGACAGGTTCCAGAGAAGGTTCGGCTTCTGGCCTTGGAATTTGAATCTTTAACGGAACCGATCGATCGTGTGAAGCGGCTTTTGCATTACGCGGCGGTGCTGCAGCCGTTTGACGAGTCGGCTCGCGTGCCGGAGAATAAAGTGACCGGATGCACGACGCAGGTGTGGCTGGTTGCGCGGATGGATAAGAACGGGAAGGTGAGGTTCAGAGCCGATAGCGATTCGGAGATCACGAAAGGATTCTGCTCGTGCTTGATTTGGATGCTGGACGGAGCGGATCCAGAGGAAGTGGTTGGGGTGAAGGGCGAGGATTTGGCGGAGATGAACGTGGGAGTCCACGGAAAGGAGCAGTCGCGGGTGAACACGTGGCACAATGTGTTGATGGGTATGCAAAAGAGGACCAGGGATTTGGTGGCGGAGCGGGGAGATGGAAAGTCGCCCTTTCCTTTGAGGATATCTCGATATAGAGATTTGTATTTTCAATAATGCAAGGTTCAATTTTTAAAAAATATATATATATATATATATTAAATGGTAAATTATA